CAGGCAGGACCCGGCGGGGTGCACTGCGGAGGCCGGCTTCAATATCTTCACCCAGCATGCTCAGCATAATGTCTTCAAGCTCCGTCCACACAATAGCATATCAAGACTTCATTCCTCCTCCTGGGGCTGAGAGGCATTCCATTGTATTTCTAGAAGCATTTTCAAAACAAGTATAATATAAAATTAGAAATCAATGGTAGAAAGATCAATGGAAAAAAAGCAAACATGTGGAAACTTAGTAACACCCTCCTTAAGAGAGACTGGCTAAGAGAAGAAATAAAATAAAATTTAAAAATTCCTTGAATCAAACAAGAATGAAAACACCACATACCAAAGTCTTTGGGACACTGCAAAAGCAGTGATCAGAGGCCAATTTATAGTGGCAAATGTACACATAGAAGAAGAGCCAAAATCAATACTTTAAACTATCACCTCCAACAATTAGAAAAAGAACATCAAGAAAAGCCTACAGTCACCAGAGGAAAGGAAATAATAAAGATTTGAGCAGAAACAACTGAAACAGAAAGTAGAAAGACAATAGAAAATGTCAATAAGCCCAGAAGTTGGTTTTTAAAAAAGATTAATAAAATTCATGAACCACTGGCAAATTTAACAAAGGAAAAGAGGGAGAGAATACAAATAACACAAATAAGAAATGAAATGGGCAACATCAATAGAACGAACTGAAATAAAAAGGATAATGTCAGGACACTATGAAGAACTGTACTCCAACAAATTTGAAAATCTGAAAGAAATGGACAGATTTCTGCAAACACACTACTTACCTAAACTAACACAGACTGAGGTGGAAAAGTTGAACAGGTCCATAACAAAAGAAGAAACTGAACAGGTCATAAAAAAATTACCAACACAAAGAAAGTCCTGGCCCAGACAGATTCACTGGAGAATTCTACCAAATATTCAGAGAAGAACTGACACCAATCCTACTCAAACTATTCCAGAACATAGAAAAGGATGGAATCCTCCCAAATTCGTTTTATGAAGCAAGCATAACCTTGATGCCAAAACCAAGGAAAGATATCACTAAAAAGGCAAACTACAGACCAATAATCCTCATGAGTATAGATGCAAAAATCTTCAGCAAAATCCTAGCCAAGGCCATTTTGGATTTTAAAGTGATAACATTCTCATTTGGATTCTAGAGACCTAAGAATAGGTTCTCTTTGCCAAGGATGGCAGGGATGTACAGGAGGCTGACAACGGGAAAGGAGACAGGTGGTGAGTGTATAAGTGCTGCCAACCAGAAAATAGAGGTGCATAGTACAGTACTCTGCTTACATAGATAACATACAAACAAAACAAAGAAAATGAAAATCGTGGGCAAGTCACTCCAACATACAATCACCAATTAAATATAAACACAAAAACGTCATAATGCCTCAGAGACAATAGAGTATCACAGTCCATGC